GTAGGATTTATAAGCGCGTTTTGAAATGGCCTAAGCTGCTGCGAGTGGATGAGGGGACAGAGTTCATGGGCGTGGTTACCAAGACCCTGAAAGACCACAGCACCAAGATTAGGAGAGCCGAAGCAGAGTACCACAGGGGTCAGAACATCGTCGAAAGATTCAATAAGACCCTGGCCGAGCGTCTCTTTGGATACCAGTATTGRAAAGAGCTGGAAGATCCCTCCAAACGCAACAGGGAATGGACTTAGAGACTCCCCCAGGTCATCGCGGCCTTGAACAAGGATGCTATAAAAAAGAAACACGCGGAACACAAGTGTTACGTCAGACGTTCAAGGGCGGTCTTCCCCCAGGAAAAAAGAATAGGCGATATCACGGTTCGACATCTCTATGAGCCGGGTGAATTAGAAGGAGGATCCAAAAGAGCTACGGATCCTAATTGGTCTTTGGAAACTTACCAGATCCAAAGTGTAATAGCTAAGAAGGGTCAGCCCATCTTGTATCATCTTCATGATGGTCCCACGCGTGGGTTCGTCAAAGAAGAACTGCTTATTGTGTAATGCCCAAACGCTATGGTGTGGATACCATCATTACACATCCACCTTTTACCATCAAATGCTGATAAAGACACCTTCTCTTGGGTGACGTTATGCAGCTGATGACCATAGCTGCGTATGCTGTTCATCTTGTGTCGTTGCTCATTTCTGGTCTTTAAGACCTTCAGATATGAGTCGTGCGTTATGTCCTTCTCAACCACGTACCTTTTTACGCCTTTAGCTTTCTTATCTACTCCGTCTAGCTTTAACACGCTGTACATCTTTGGTTTAAGTCCTACATACTCTACTATGGGTTTTCCCTCCATTTTATCTTTCATCTTACCTATCACCTTTTTATTCTTCGCGGAGTAAAGGAAGTGGTCTTTGGGATATTCACTGGTATCGTACTCATCGATGTCAGGCAGGAAGTCCTTATAGACGTCTTCCGTGATCACTTCTAGTATTAAAGAGTCTGTGTCCGTGTACAGCAGTCGGCATTTGTTACCATACTTTGGTTTTAACTTATCGTAGTAAAACTCGTACATGAGCAACTTAGACAAATCCAACACGGTAATCCCCGTGTATACAGGTTTGTTCAAGAATAAATTCGCCTTCTTCATGTGAATCACGTAGAAGTTCAACATCTCTACGTATCTGACGAAACCCGGTTGCGACACGTAAGCCTCGGCTTCTTCTTTTGTGCTGGCTATCTTTATGCTTACCCTCTTACGGATGTTCTCCATGGTCTTCCCAAACACGCTATTGTTCATCAGCTTAAACCGGTTCTTCTCGAAGTCGTTCTTAGCCTGCGTTCTCTCTTGGGTGTTAAAGTCGATATAGCTGCGCATCCAAGGCTCCTGAGTAAACTTCAAAACCCTGTGGATTTTCGTTATCTTCATACCATGTTTGATGTAGAACTGTAAATTTCTGTAATGCACTACGTACTTCTCCTTATTCATCAGATTCATGGTAAGCTTTCTGTATGGTTTGTAGCTGGGGCACATTTCTTTCTGCAGCGGGCTTAAGCGTTCAAAAGGTATCTCTATGGCTTCTGGCGCTAATGCAAACTCATCGTGTGAATCATGTAAGTTCGGGGGATATTCAAGGTCTACTTCCAAAATGTAACCTTTGTCGTCCTCCTTACCTACTTTCATGTAAAAGTCTTTCGAACGCACTTCGTCCCACTTAAAATCGCGAACTGGTAAGTATTGCGACATTGCCCAACCATAAAGGTTATTAGCGTCTAAGTAAAGTATGTACGAAGTGGGCTTGTCGGGGTCGTGCGTTACTGCGGGGTTGTTCGCTCTTGCGTAGCGCCTGCTTGGGCCGCAGACACCACCACGAATACCATCTTCCATGAATCTGAACATGTCGTATTCCGTTAGCAGATCTAATTGCGCGTTCGTCTTCTTTAGCAAAGCGCTCCAACTGAGTCCCGGAGCCGTGTAGAAGTTAGCTGGGTCCAATCCATAGTATTCCATAGCCATCTTCCGGAAGCTTTGGAAGACGTCTGCTAACAGTACTACGTCTGACCTAAGGTAAATTTCGTGGTAGTCTCCCATGTCTTTGCATGAGTGCTTCTTCCACACGTCTAACGCATGCTGGTATTCTTCGTCTTTTAAACCGGTTTCTGCCAAAGTGCTGTAGAATGCTTCTTTTGGAGGTAGAGGTTCTTTAAACTTCTTCCAGCTGCTCATGTATTCGTATGGGTAAACCCCCTTCCTTTCCGCACCGTATTGACTGGAAATTGGAAACTAAGTGTTGTATCTGACTAAGTTGGCTAAGGAGTCTGCCATGAACTGCTGCGAATCTAAGAACTTCAGCTTACCCACAGTTACGGACATGTACCTTTCTTTATTATTAGGTATGCACTTCACTTCAGATCCATTGGTTCCCTGCAGACGTGACATCTCTTTGCTTTAGCGAACGCTTCCTGGTTCTCCTTCGTGAATACCATCTTCTTTGGTCGCTTTAACTGCTCTCTTATTTCTTCCTCCTCTTCACGCAATGCTTCTAGAAATTTCTTAGCTGCGTCTTTACCACGGTATGTTACAGGAGGATCAGCCTTTCCATCAGATCTAACAACTATGTAACCAAATGAGCAAATCTCATGTAATCCTAGCTTGTTCGTAGCACCACTTTTCTGCTCTTCTTTGGTTATCAACGCTTCAAAGTCTGCGTATATCACGTAAGGTACCCGCGCCTGCTTTTGGTGGTCTGAATATGATAAATTCTTATCCGTGGGCATCTGTATCCTCTGTGCTACCTCCTCCACTCCACGACATATCTCGTCATGTTCCTTTAAAGCCTTAACGCTGGTAAATGATAAAAAACAGCAATCGCAGAAGTACTTCCTACCTTTATGCTTCGTGTATCTGTAAAACAGTCTGCTAACATGTTTAACCCAGGAATAATGCCCGCCGTAGTAAAACAAATGTATCCTTTCTTTCTTGTTCTTTGACAACATCAGTGGTACTATCGTTTGATCCCTAACACCGTAAACGTTAATAGCTAAGTTATTGTCCTGCTCAAATATTGGAATGTCTATCAACTGCATAGGAAACTCCACTCCATCCCATTCTAAGTCATCCGTTGGGTACTTGCTTGTCCTACAGGGATCCTTATCTGCTGGATACAACGCGGATCGTATTGCCCACATGAAACATAGGTTATCATCATTATTTACGTTAACTATGGCTTTTTTCCTTTCTATCCACGTGGGCAGCGGTACGTAACTACCTCCTCGTATGGGTACGTACCTTGCCATGCTGACGTCCAATCCTTCCACTTCTTCTACTATCCAACCTGATCCTTCTCTCGTGTAGTTTGATAAAGACTCCATAATTGCTTCCAGGGCGCTACTAAGTGACCTATCCAGGTTCGTTGAATCTAATATAATCAGTGACTTTGACCGCAGCATTGCTGTCGTGGTCACTTCATCCTTTGACAAGCTTACCTCAACCATTATGCTAGCTTTCAATGCACCTAACTCCCTCAAACCTCCTAGCAGCGTCCTTTTTACCTTCCTTACCGACCTTACCCAAAACTGTCTAACGTCAATCTCACCGTTTCCGGGTACTGTGTGCTGAGTCTGTCTGGTAACTACCTTCCTAATGCTTCCTTAGTCCGTGTGGGAGGTGTTTTGAAAACTTTCTTGAAAAAATAGACATGCGCAAAAGCTCAACATCGAACTTAGAAATGTTATCATTAATACTCATTATAAAATAACTCTTATAAATCTCGCATTCTGAATTGTTGGGAGCGTGTGGTTTGTGAGAGCACACAGCACGCACGCACACTTTACATATTATAAGAGAAATAAAAAAACTTGCTTGCCGTGCTGTGTGGAATTTAAAAGCACTTGGGGATTGGAAGAACACTCGAGAAGTTTTCTTTTCTCCTGTTCTACCTATCCGTGCGTTCTTTATGACTGCAGACAGTACGCGCGTGCATTTTTTTTATGTCATCAGTCCACAATGCGAATATTTAGTTAATAATATTGACATTGAGTCATACAAGTACCTTGGCTTCTAACGAAGAAGGGTAAAAGCAGGTCAACCATCATAGAATGTGACAACTTTCACTGGAAGACTTATCTGAACGCTGTTGTAATTTGATGTTTTTCCTGTAATGGATTGGTGATTCTATGACACACAAACCTTCCATGTAACCTGGTAATGGATGAATGAATCGATTATATATGGTGAGACATTCTTTGAGATAAAAGGCTGAAACATCCAATGCACAGCTTGTCTTAAATACCGAGTGAAATCTAAAGTATAACAATTATTATTTCTTAATCAATTTATACAAAAATGATTGTATGCGCATTACCTTCTCTTTCTTTCTCTCCATCTTTCTCTCTCCTTTTCGATCCCTATGATCAAAAACCTTTCAAATGATAATGATAGTTTTATTATTCCTAACCCGCAAATAAGCATGTTGACCAAAAATTTGACCAAATGCTCGTCACAAACGTTAGGATACCTGAATGCAATCTAAATCATAACAAATAACTTACTGTCCATGCCAAATTCTAAGTAAAATAAAAGCTAGTCTTAAAAGTTGAACGATATTCTATGTCTAAAACGCAAAATTTATACAGTTAATTATATAAATTAGAGAAAAATTATAATACACGAAGATACTGGATACGAGAGCGTGCAATACGTCATCAATCAGCCAATTATTTTACGCGCGCTTTGAATGAAGTTGTTCAGTAAGAGAAAAAGCAAAAGAAAGCGATAAAAGATTTCGCACGCAGAAAATGTTCAAAAAGACTTTTTTAAGATTCGATTGCACATACCACTTTTTTAGGTACAAACTTTAACTTACTGCAATGGATTTATTGTAATTTTTTTGATTCTGTTATGTGAAAATTGAATATCTTACAACATACACAAACATATAAAACAAAACATACATTTGTCATTACCAATGTTAATTTAATTCCTATATAACAATTATTTCTTATGGCAGTAGCCACATGCGCTTATTGAGCGCCTATTTTTATACACCTATTTCGGAAATCGGTGTCGTACCAAGAGGCTCAAGTAACAAGCCAAGGCTCCAAAGAACGTCGGTACTTTTAATTATAATTGATTTATTCATAGTTCACGCAAGTGGTTATAGCTCTCCACCAATTATCATCTCAAGCAGCCTTGCTTGGAGCAATTTGTGAAGTCAATAAATGGAAATGTTCTCTGCGGTCTTGGCTTGTTGCTTGAGGCTTTTGGTGCGACAACGATTTCTGAATAGGTGTGTATATTTCCCGCCACTTGTAACTCAGCGCTTCACGTCCTGCAGGTGTATTTAGCCCATAGTTAAAGAAAATTAAAAGTATTACAGCTTTTACTTAGATTTGTGAATGTTCCAAATTTCTCTACGTAGTCTACAGCTGATCCAAGTTATACATGCGATAAGGTAAGTTAACTGAAACAATAATATGCTTTCAGTCTTTAAATAATGACTGTTTTCTTCTGACATTGCCTTATATCTTTTAGCTAACTTGCAAAGATATCCCAGGCTCGGTACTTACTTTAGCAAAGCTAGAAAAATACAAGAAAAACAAGATGTCGTTTTGGTTAAAGTGCCGGGGGGTGATGAGAAAATCCTCTGACATTAAGGCCCTGTCCACACGTGTCCGCAAATTTTTTTTTATTAATTTAGAACCGTATTTTTGCTGATTTTATAAGCTCATACTATCTGTTGGCCTATACATTCGCCTCTTATGGTTTCTTAGGTTTCGTAGMCTCGAAAACACGCTAACTACGGTAGTTAGCGAAAGAACAGAAGATTTTTTTGTCACGCAGTTTACTTGTGCTATATAACTTTACTATTAAGAACAACCTTTGATTTGGAAAGAGAGGAAAAAGACCGAAAAGAGCAAATATTCCAAACGTATTGGCAATTGTTTCCAATGAAAAAAGATTGTGCGGATAGAAAAATTTCCGGATACGTGTGGACGGGGCCTAAACTTATTTCAAGTTCAAAACTCATTAATAATTAATGAGCATTTGAACCAATTGGAGCGACCATACACGTCACGTGCATGGACCTGTAAACCCCATAAAGTCCTCTTCATTAATATTTTTTATATAAAGAATACTAATGAGGATGAGACTTTATATAAGTTCATCGACCATGATTCCCAGATTCGTGGATTGCATGGGTGATGCGTTTTAGGCTATCTTTTAGCTGGGTTTTTTTTTATGGGGTGGTGAAAACTCGATTCTGTGCACTAAAAYTATGTAACTTAATTATGTAATAGTTAGTGCACAACTAGTAGTGGTTGCCAATTGAATATAGAACTATTTATGAAATTTTATTGCTTACTACCAATCATAATCTAGTAATATGGCCCCGCGAATTCACCTTTTTGGCGCTAGCTTGGATTGTGTAACGGTCACCAAAAAGCTTGGACACTGTTCTCGGATTCCCATACAAATTCACTGACTTAAAAGATTAAATTTAGGTAGATTTCTATAGTTTGCTCTCTTAAAAGCAGTAAGAAAAGCTTCAATCAAGCTAGAAAAATGATTTCTTACTTGTATTCAGAGAACTAACTTAACAAAAAACGTAAATAGTTCATTTAAAGCCAGCACATTTTTAGGGAAATTCGAGAACTATGCCCCAACGTTTTGGTGAAGGCTTGCGCCAAAAGTGTGAATTACGGGAAAAGCCCTCCTTCATTTTCATCACCCAAATAAACAGCTAAAAGACGGCTGTCTAAAAAGCATCGGACGACAAAATGAAACACACTTTAGACGATTGTAAGTACTAAGAGGAATTTTTTTCAATAATGAGTAATAATGGCAAAAAGTGCCAAAAACTAGACTTTCGTATGAGTTTTCATCGCAATTTTCGTTTTGGGTTAACACTTAAAACCTTTTTTAAACAGTTAGAAACTGATCTACTTTGATAAAATGCCTGTTTGAAGCGGTATTTTCAATTGTACAAAGATTTAAAACTATATTTTCTGGAGAAACGGGACTTTGTCTTGGTGTACAGGGTGTACAGGTTATCCCAAATGTCATTCTTTCAATCATTTATGGCATGCTGCAGAAGTTCGTCACGGGTCTCATGGTCGACATGCGTGAAATTGTAATTTTCAGTCTTAAAAGGCAACAGTAGGCTTCGACAGCACTCAAGGCATGCTTTGCAGCAATGACCACAGCTGCAGTTATCTTCATTAGCAGCCCTACAGCATTTATCCTTTAATGTCTGCCAAATGACCTTGAGAACAGCAACTACAAAAAGAGATTTATGTGATCATGATATCAGCGTGACACACACCAAGCAACTAAAAATATACCTATCAGTTCAACATGACAATGCAAATGGCATACGATGATCTCTTCGACACAAACCAACTTTAGATTTAATGACAAAGCTATACTCGCCATTTAGCCAATATGCCGTGACTGACTTACCTACTTTATCAATACAATGATCTACGATAAGATGTCCATACTCACCTGCCATTATACCAATAACAACAACATCGATGAGGATCACGATAGACACGCCCACTTTATCCATACGATGATCTACACTAAGATATCTATACTCACCTGTCACTATAGCAATAACAGCAATATTGGTAATGATCATCATGATAGACACGAACAGGTTGTCGTTATGCTTGTTGATAACTGGTGACATTTTGTCATTGTCTGATGCCTTGAGCATCACACCAATTCCAAGGTTTAGAAATATCGCCATCAGAGCCACCGCCTGCAGAATATTCTCAAACTTGTTAGTGATGGGACGTTTATAGGCATAAAGAATAGCAAATACAGCAGATATGATGGCGCCAAGCCCAATCTGTGTGCGGCTGTGTTCACCAATCAACGTCAGACCGGAAATAAGAATCAGCTTCCTGATCATCTCCAAACCTTCCCAGTACCAACAATTTGAATCATAGTTCTCGCTGAATAAACGAAGGCCAGATTTGAATGGGGATTCTGCTGGAGGAGGTACGGGTGTGTTTGAGGACTCAGACACTGCTGGCAAATCAATTTCTTCGTTGTTTTCTTTAGCCACCCCTGACGACGGCTTGTGAATGTATTTCCACACGAGAAAGAGAATTACCACAGGAAACCCAATCGGATAAACAAGGAAAGCTATGGCAATACGTGAGAAGATGTTGTGTTCGGGAGAACCACACTGGACAGAGAGGTCGCTTCTGAGATATGAAACACAATATGTGTGCTCTTCTTCGAAGCACAGCTGTACACAGTTTACGGAAAGAACTTGAATGATACTTGTACAGGTTTTTGGATATGTAGCAAACAGAAAGACACAGATGTTACGAATGCATGAACTCTTGGTTTTGGCCACCGACTGGTCGATATAAGCCGGCTCGTTGATTGGAGTTTGTTCGTTGATTGGATTTTGTTGGTCGATTGGATTTTGTTGGTCGATTGGATTTTGTTGGTCGATTGGATTTTGTTGGTCGATTGGATTTTGTTGGTCGATTGNATTTTGTTGGTCGATTGGATTTTGTTGGTCGATTGGATTTTGTTGGTCGATTGGATTTTGTTGGTCGATTGGATTTTGTTGGTCGATTGGATTTTCTTTCTTTCTCTTGAGTATTGCAATTCTTATCATAAGATAGATAAGAAAGAAGGTGACTACGATAATGTTCAAAGCAACAACAATGACAAACTGCTGTAGTACGTTAAAGGATAACCGAGAAGTAATACAACTGAGAGGAGCGATCTGTAGGATGTTTAGTTGTATGAAGTGAAGAGTCTTCTGCATCCAAACAACCGAGGATGGCCAGGCTATGTTAGAGCAAGCAGAATATATTCCTGCCATCACCTGGAAAGCGAAATTTGAATAATATAAACAATCTGAAATCATGAGAACCTTTTTTTGTATTAATGGAATTGAACCTTTAGTAATATAAAGGCGCTGTTATAAATCACTGCAATAGTCCCCTTCACCGTTCCCTGCGCCATCTTGAAAGGTAGCCGTACCTTTGAATCACGACGAACGGCGAGCTTGGAATGGTAGAGGCCTTTTTTAAACCCCTTGGACAATTATTCACCTGTCTCTATCGTTGCAAGATCACCGTTCGTCTCGCTTCGATGCAAAGTCACTACTAGTCATAGTTGGTTCTCGTCAAATTTACGTTTTTAAAACTCGCTAACCTTGCAGTTGAAACATGTGCTTATTGAGCGCCTATTTCTACTAGCTCTTTTTGTTGTGCGCTCTATTTGAGAGAATTTATTTTCTCTGACTAGAAGTTGATGGACACCAAATCAGGATACCATGTTTGTGAATTTTAAGCTTGATTCAAGATGGCCGCTTCTCAGATGATCCTCCGCGTTTCAACCCTCTCATGATTTTCCGTTCCTATAAGGTGGCTAGATTGAAATGATAACTTCTACTTGCCTGATAAAAGCCAACGACAATCTTAAAACAAGACAATATCTTGTCTGCAATGGTTCGATTTTTTTCCTTTTGTAGCCTCTTTCTGTCTCCCCATAAAAGAGCGAGAAGAACGCAGACAAACAGAACGATCACTATAGCAACCTGAAACCCTGCCCTAAATTTGGATGGACAGCGGATACATCTGGAATTTAAATACTTCAATTAGAAAAAAAATACTAATAAGGGTGAAATCTTTAAATACTTATTCATTCTTATAGTGGTATTAGTATTATTTATAAAGAATTCAAATGAATTTATGAAATGGAGCCGGTGAGAAATTATTAACTTGAACAAACCTGTTTATCTTGTTGTAATAGTCTGGTTCACAAAGTGAACACAGCGGACCTTGGTAACCATTTTGGCAACTAGAGTTCAGGCCTCCTAAACAGGAGTCACGTGGACACTTGTGGGGACTTGGTAGAGTTCCTTCGTATTTCCATGTTCCTTTTGCAAACTCAGGGCTCTCAACCATGAGATTTGCGATAAACGTGCGGTACTTTTTTTCAAAAGTGCTATTTTCCCATCTCCAGAAAAAGCCTTCCGACAGACTAGCGTAGTCGTTTTCGCATTTATAACCCTTGCTTGGGCAGGAAAAACACTTTCCGAACCGGTCAAACCTGTAGAAGTTTGGTAAGCACTTGCAAGCTCTGTATCCAGCCTTTTCACTTGTTTGTGTCCCTGAAACGGAAGCAAAAAACAGCGCTTAAGGCACTGGGTTGGGTTCGCCTGGAGGAACATCGAAGACTACATAGATGTTTGTATATTTACAAGTGTATTAACAATCTAGCCTCACATAGTTTTGCATTCACTAAGAATGCTGATATATATGATTATAATATTAGGAGTAAAGGTAAGTTGAGGCTTCCTAAGAATGGAATTAGATCATTCCAAGAACGGAATGATCTAAGTCAAGAATTAAGGAACTCTAGTAGTGTTGAAGTCTTCAAACGCAATTTTTTTAGACCTCTCTGAAAATCACCAATGTGAGAGAGTTTTTCTGGAGCAGATCAAGGGCACTAGGACACCGAATGTGGTTGGATTTCTATAGGTTTTTTTTTCTTTTCGATTATTTGAATTAAATTAACGTTATACTTGTTTACTTATCTTGTGTCCGTGCTCCTTAGTTCGCTGTTGTAATGCAGACGTTTTCATTCCAAAGGTCAAACGGTTTGAATAGCCTATGAGCGTTACGTCTTTAACGGCCGTTCCGTACTTGATTCTGTTTGTACTATACCAACAACAACGCGACCGCGTGATGCTCCTTACGTCAGTAATATTCAACCGTCCAGAGTTAATATGGTTAATCAAATTCACCTTAAGTTCCATGTAGAGCCCCCCCGCGTTGTTGTTGGTATAGTACAAACAGAATCAAGTACGGAACGGCCGTTAAAGACGTAACGCTCATAGGCTATTCAAACCGTTTGACCTTTGGAATGAAAACGTCTGCATTACAACAGCGAACGAAGGAGCACGGACACAAGATAAGTAAACAAGTATAACGTTAATTTAATTCAAATAATCGAAAAGRAAAAAAAACCTATAGAAATCCAACCACATTCGGTGTCCTAGTGCCCTTGAGCAGATGTAATTTAATTATATGTGCAATAAAAATTATTATTATTATGCATTGGTGATCAAATGCTTCTTGCTTTTGGACTAGGTCTGACAATGTACAATTAAAGCGTTTCCGATGGTTTGGCGTGGTATATCCTCTTATTTACCACGGTATGACGTCAGGAGTTGGTCAAGAGGTAATGTACTCACGAGGCGTAGGCAAGTGAGTAAATAACTAGTTTTGACAAACCGTTAAAGTCATATAGTGGTAAATAAAAGGTAAATAAATTTGAAAAAAAAAAGTTTTCAAGTGCGCACTGGCTCAGTGAGTGAGCTATTTGTTGAAGTAATTGCCTTATTTCAATATGACGTCACTGCTTGTTTATGTGGGGGATAGAATCGCCAAATCCAATAGAAAATTCAACATAATTTGCTCCTAGCGAAACAGTTTAATCTAAAATGGCCTGGTTTTCAGATATTATATGTGTTAATATGTACTAAAACATTTTCTTAGCGTTTTCTAGCTATTCTACTTCTCTTCGTGGATTGATGCAGGTTTTAGAACAATTTTCGGTGAATTTGCGCTTATTTGACCCCCTCCGACGATCATGATCCTTTGCATGCGTTTAAACAATAGATTATTTTGATGTGACGTCATAGTAAAATAGGGCAATTTGTTGGTATGTCTTCTTATTTACTACGGCTCTCAACCAACCAGAAAACGAGAAAGTGTAGTAAAACTACATAAACACTGGGGTTTTTACCTTGTGGACAGGCCTGACACGATAGTGGTGTAGTTGCCGGTGTGTTGTTTGGGTGTACAAAAGTGCCCATAATGCATTCCTTACATTTTGTTTCTCCAATTTCGTCTTGATAGAATCCACCTAAATAATGAGAAATGATTGTGAACGCCACAAACAACGCAACTGCTAGTATACAATTAATCACTAGTATAAGATCTGACTGGATATTTCAAATTAAACAATTTGTATAGGAAATCGAAAGATCTTTTCGTACCATTCGGAATTTATTTCTACGAGTGATGTTCTGAAAGTTTTTTATGATTTATGATTTATGATTTATATAGCGCCCTTTAATATGTGGATATAATCAAAGGCGCTTTACATGGAGTTGTGAATGACAGATTGCTTTATGCAATTTACAAGCATGAGAGATGGTTAGTATGAAGTGTAGGCACTGAGGGTGGTCACTGCCAGGGTTTCTTTTTACGTCTTCAGTGGTTCTTTTATGTCCCCCATTTTTACTGTAGGTTAGGAAGGGTTAGGAGACAGGGCCTACGGTTTAAAGTCCTTGTCCGAGAAGACTTGAAGGTCTAACCATTTGCAGATATTATTACAAAGGCAGCACCTTCTCCTCAGTTATTTTAAGACCCTGAGTGTTGGTCCGGCCTAGGCTTGAACCACGACCTCCCGCACAACAGACCGACGCTCTTACCAACTGAGCTAACCGGGTGGCGGTTAAGTTTTCAAAATTAGACGAGGTTTTAGGCGAGAACTTTCAAAACATCACGAGTATCTATAATTTTCGGATTGTACAAAAAGATTGTGCGATTTTTTGTTTATAATGCTCTCAAGAGAATTGAGCAACTTAATTGGGACTCTTCAGAGTACAATTTGGGATTAAATTGTACTCCTCTTGTTTAATCAGAATCGAGTACTTCTGTTGAGCTTATTATAAAAAGATAAGTGAAAATCCTGTACCTCTTCCGTAAAAATGTGTTATGTTTAGTAAAACGATATTTCGGCCAGCCATTACTTGCTTTGTTCAGGTAATGAAGAAGGCAAGTAATGGCTGGCCGAAATATCGTTTAAGTAAACACATTTTTACCGACGGTGTACCGGATTTTCATTTACCTGCATAATGTACAAAAGTAAGAGCAATATTCCTATTTACCTATACGGCGGCCATATTGAATTCTATTTTTTTATGCAAGATATCATGGGATGCCGAGGGAGCAATCATTGAAAAATCTATAAAATGCACAGCTGTCAGGGTGTCTTTTTACGTAAGTTTACGCTTTTCATTGAGAAACACATCTAAAAAGCATTTGAATTTGCTCATTAATGGAACAATATGCGAAATTTCAAAAGTTATGATTATTTGAAAACGTAATACCGCAACTATGCTTTATAAGTGTTCTACGTGATGACTCACTCGATATCTCATAATTCAAGATGGCCGCCGTCAATCTTCTCGGAGTAACTTACCAGCTGAGCATGTTATACATCCCCTGACGTCACTGACATCGCTATTACCGAACGTGCCAGCCTTGCAAAAACTACAATAATAATTGCCTGCTGAATGCAATGTGCACGTAAACCCTGATGTTGAGAGGGTTTTGGCGATCGAGTAAGGCAATTTTTTAATCACTCCTAACGAATGTGGAGTACAAGCGCTGTTAAGAAAATAATGATATATAAATTTTTTGGGTCAGGTTCTTTGAAGGAAAGCAGGACCCCTTTAAACAATAGTTCCCTTCACAGTTCCCTGCGCCGTCTTGAAAGGTAGCCGTGCCTTTGCATCGAAGCGAGACGAACGGTAAGCTTGCAATGATAGAGAACGTTTTTGAACACGTTGGACAATTATTCACATATCATTGCAAGCTCGCCGTTCGTCTCGCTTCGAAGCAAAGGCACGGCTATATTCAAGATGGCATAGGGAACTGTGAATAGACATGTATAAAGTGATAAAAAATCGAGAATTAGTGTAGCTAGGCTTAAGAGCAGTCATTCTACTGAAAGTAAYTCCCTTGAATTTTAAGTTATGTTTTGCGGGTGAATCAAGATATATACCAAAATTATTATCTAATATCAAATGACTCACATTTTCCCATTTTGTATTCGCGGAAGATCTGCAAGGTCTTTGCAATCGAGATTCCTAAAGCAAGAAACCATCAGTGTATATGTGATTGAAGTACTTCAGTAACCAAAATAAACTCACAGCGGTCGTCATAAATTATGAAACACTCAAAAATTAGAGATTCTACGATTGGGTTTTTATTAATTGTAAATCGTAGTATGATAGGACAACTTTTGCGCGTGATATCTTTTGTTTAAATCAGTGTATTATACGGCTACTTAATCCTGTCAAACGTTAAAGATGAGCAAAGAAATAACACGCAGAATAAGCAGACCCAGTATAACTCCTACGCAGACGTTCTTAGTTTCACGCAAGGTTTCCTCTTTGTCTGTTGCGTGACAGACACTAAGAACGACTGCGTAGTAGACTATATAACCAGTTGCCATTGATTACATTCCTACGAGAATGTTTTGCTCACAGGAATATGCGCGCGCATGCCACTAATGATTAGCGCGAGCTAATATTTTATATAGCCATTGACTTTGACTGTCCATTTAGTTGCATTTTTCTCTGACACTTTGCGTATTTGTTATTAGTATTAACCCTTTCCCTACGAGACCCAGCCATACATAAATACTGTTATTTCCGGGGCCAAATGCACCTTCCTTAAAATTGTCTTGAATGCGAGGCTAACATGAAAATACAAAAGAAATGCCACAAATTCCATCGAGAAAAAATGTGATTTCTTTTGTAATTTCATATTAGCCTCGCATCCACGATACTTTTGAGAAGAGTCTATTAGAGGTCACCAGCAAAGTCTACCCAAAATCAAAACATGCATGGATGCTCAGGAAATGCAGAGGATGTTTAGCCGTTTTTTTCTCAGGGCTGTGTAGAAGAGAAAGGGTGTATATGCAGTCTTTCTATTTAAATATTTATCGAGTTCGTCACTCGTTTTGCCTTCAAGAATGCGCGCGCGTCGTGTTTATAAAATTGTAAGACGAAGCAATGCAGCTTGTCTATAATATCAATGAATGCCACTTGATAGACAAACCTGACTTACATCGTTATTTCATTTCCAAGATCCTTTACGTAGTCATCGTTGATATGATTGATGAAGTTTGAGAATAAGTATCTGGAAAAAGGATGCGTAGGATTCAACAACAACAACAACAACAACAATCAGAAGCAATCCCTGTCTCTGCCTACTTTAGCAAAGACGATGCAGTGTTTTAGTCTATTCACTTACATCGATGCTTTAGTTTTCTTCATCCCTTTGAATGGCCGTCCTGTTAAATTGATGAATTTATTCTTATTTAAGAATCTGTAAAAAAGAAGATTGTACTTGTGATTGCAGGGTCAAATAAAGCCGTTTTTTGAACTAGTTAAAATTAATTCTCGGGAACTGGGTGCAGCCAATCACACCGCCGTGTGAAAGACGTCAGTAAGGATTAGGCTTGATGTCATTTCGTTAATATTAGAGACCTTTAGCATTACACGTTTACCGCTAACCACTAACCGCTAGGGATAAGATACAGTAAAACATGCCCGCAAACACGGAGAAAATCTTAGCATCAATGAAATTCAATATGGCGGCTCTTCCAGCAACAACTTCGTTATGACGCCTTGCTCAATGTCGAAAGTTTGACGCAAAACGTCTGATGTCGAACTGCAGTTTGAGATTTGCGGTACCTAGCAAGAACGTCGTGCTAAGAGTGCTTGTAGCACAGAATATAGTTTACTTGGTTGGTTCACTCATGTCTCATATCATTTGTTTCTACAGTCGGTTGTATAGGTCGTTTAAAGTACAAAAAAAATAAAGAAAAGCTAACCGACCAAGTAGCGATCACAATTCGAACAAGAACCGACCAAGAACCGACCAAGAACTCACGCTAGTCCTCCGAGGATAGAAAAACTGAGGAGTCAAATATACCCGCATGTAAATTACGTCACATGTTGACATAAGTGTTTAACTAGTTCCCACTAGTTCACTTTCACTGGTTTTCAATCTTTACTGATCAATACTTACAAATATTCAAGAGAGAGATTTGAAAATACTTCATCAGGTAAATGACGAATGGTGTTGTTGAATAAATACCTAAGGAAATAAAATGAAATTAAGATAGAATACACTGCGATAGTAATAATCACTTCTGTAAAAAAAAAAAAAGAATTAAAAAAAACAACAACATAACTGAAAGAAACAAACCAAAACAAGCAGGCACATAATAAACAAGCGAAAAAACGAATAATAAAACGAACATACAGCGAACACACAAATGAACGAACTAACACGAAACTCTTCCGAAAACTGCGACTCAGTGAACAAAACATGGTTCATCTGAAACCCTGTTTTGGTGCTTATATTTGATTCATTATTTAGAACTTCTTTACAAAATCCTCATTAAGGCTTTGATATTTGTAATAGGAGGTGGCCTGAAAAAAGGCAAGAATATAACGATATGCAAGATAAGATGCCAAGATCTCCGGCTAGGGTAATGCAAATGTAATGGAATTGATCTGATTTGAAGAGTAGAAACCTCCCCCAAAAATAGGAGTCATCGAATTCGGTTACATATTATAATTTTCTAATTATGGAGCTATTAATTGGGTTATCTTTAGCAGAGAAATTCTAATTTACCGTTTATATTGTTATTAATAAAATTTCTGGTATCCATCCTAACAAGAGCGATAAAATAGTTAAATACTAAGACCAAAAGCATTTACAGCATTTTACCAAATTTTGGATTATTGCTAACAACTTACAATGTCTTGAGGTTTGGTAAACCTGCAAAACTTTCACTGTGAACAAACTCGATTTCGTTGTCGTACAAATATCTAAACAAAAGAAGAAAAAACAAAGTTATACTTGCTATGGATAATGTACAGAAAATGAATGAATGAAAATTGGAGAGCTTAACATTTCATCCAATAAACGTACACTTTATGAAACTAAGTTTGTTCGTCAACAGCCATTGATTTATATTAATGAAATCCTCATTTAATGATCTGCATTTTGATTGTTGCATGACAATGAGGCAGTGCTCATGAAAGTGTCCTTAGCGAGAGCGAGGCTGGTGACAACCATCTTGAGTACCAGTGACACTTCAGAGCCCACGGTAATCGAGCAGTAATTGATGCAAACTGTTCAGTGTGGTGTCCCTGCCCTCACGGGAAAGCGAAGCCAAAAATAGGCGACGCTTTTTGATTGGTTGGGGGGGAAAAAAACGGAAGTAAAATGCAAGACTCACGGGATGTCGGGTTGGGAAGCATGTGGTAACGAACCAAAAACACTTGGAGAGGGTTCAGGCCCGCTCGGATGCAAGCATAACTGACGGCACATAAGTTTTCGCTAAAAAAGTCCAAAAAACCCCTCCTTATAGGGAATTTATTATCAAAAATCCTTTAAATTATTGAAGATTAGATGTAAGTACGACGTTCTGTATACTTTTTTTGTTTTCGGAGTCAAAATATCTGGATAAATTCGCGGCTTTCTCTCGTCAAAGTTTGAATTTTCCACAGGAAGCCCTTGAAGTTGCCTACCTTGTTAGTATATTGTATAGTAAAAAAACAAAATTGTTACCAAGGGGGCTAGGGGAGATGACAAAAAATCGATAGCGCGCGCGCACAAAAAGACAAAGACAAGGGACCATTTAGTATTTCCTTCATTTATTAGAGTGGTTAGCCTGTGGGAAAGTAAGAGTAAATGTGTAATAATAGATATTCACTTACAAATTATTTATAATCTGAGGTGTTTTTGGATTTTCGAGAAATCGAGGGGGGATTTCCTTGATTCTGTTGCTTGAAAGATCCCTGAAATAAATGGGGGGAAAACACCTTTAAAGATTTTATTTTTTAAGTATTTACGAGTCGACAAATTGTGCTAACCATATTTCCCAATACAACCTATTCATAATTAGGTCTTTAAATACCCAATCATGATTGGCTACTTTTTATGAAAGTTTGTTTGGTTGGCCTTTACTGTACCTTGGGTCTTAGTAAATCCGCGAAAAAATCCCTTTGGGACCCGGGGTACCTTTACTGTAACTCTTAGATCAATTACAAACCTATAGGTTTGTATAGAATTTGTACATAATGATAATAATAAATAAATAATAATAATAATAATAATAAAATTAATTCTTATATAGCGCATGAATCATAGGGAGATGCTCTCATGCGTTTTACAGTATAAAAACTAGATGTTGCTATATGTATAAATAGTACAGATGAATTAGAAATAACTGCTATGATAATGATAAATTTGAAGCAATTAACCGATTATATTGGAGCGACCGCATTCTAACCATGAAAAAGCACAAGAACTACCCGCTGCGCCATTCCTTAATGAATACGATGCGCTGGCTCCTAATATAATACAATGCAATTACTACTTATGAGAACTTAAATTAAAATGAAATAAATAATTAGTCTATCAGAGTTCATAGGAAATAGGACTATAATTTTGTATCTCGTTAAAACTTACAAAGTTCGGATAATAATGTGTTTGAATAAATCCTCAGGAATCACTGAAATTTGGTTGTTGTTGAGCAATCTAAAAATATATGTAAATCTATAAATTAAAACGATGGAATATAAAAAGCAAAAGACGTGATCGAAATCACCAAAGATCTTAGATAATTCGATCACGTGATCCCAGCCAACACCAGGGTCTTCTCCGCGACGACCCCGATATTTGAATTGGAGCCGGCCGAGAGGACGAAGTTAGTTTACGTTTTTTAACTCTACTGGGCGGGGACAAGACCCCCCTGCCTACTCCCCTGTGTAATGCACATATAAACTCTTTAAGTATTAGTCATGTCCAGAAAAACCTAAACGTGGATTAAAACTTACAGGTTTTCTAATTGTTTGATTCCAGAATGCGTAAGCGAAGAGGCATCTACGATGTTGTTTTGACTCAAAGTCCTATAAAGCACAATTAGTATTGTATGATGTCATATAAAGATTTCATGCATGTCTGCAATTCGCTTTTGAATTAAACTTAATTGATGAAACTTATATCGTTCGCATGGGATCGCTGTGCTTTTGGACCTTTTGGGCTTCCTTTGTCAAGGGCCAGGTTTCTCAGC